TGGAGCACTTCCGTTGTGTTTTGGAATTTGCATGTGTTTTTGAGTTTGTTCCCGTTCCTGTCAGCGGAGATCGCATTGACCACCGATGCTTCGGATGTAGCAGTGGGCGCCGTGTTGGAACAACGCGTCTCCAGCATCTGGCAGCCCCTTGCCTTTTTCAGTAGCACGCTCCGTGATATGGAGCGCAAGTACAGTGTTTTTGACAGAGAGTTACTGGCTCTGCATCTCGCGACGCAACATTTTCGATTTTTCCTCGAGGGCCACAATTTTACCCCATATGTTGACCATAAGCCTCTGACTTTTGCCATGTCCAAGGTTTCTGATCCTTGAAGCGCGCGCCAGCAGTGGTAGTTTTTGGCAATATCAGAGTTTACCATGGACATTCGGCACGTGGCTGATAAATCCAACCAGGTCGCTGATTGCCTGTCCCCAACCCCTCCACGTCCCCGGGGAATTTTTGCCTGAGAGCCCCCACCCATGTTTTGATGTCTCGGTGCTGGCTCTCCGCCCCCTGGAGCCCCCTTTTCTGTCCCTGGTCTTGTGCACCAATGCCTACCAGATGTTTTTGTTGGAATCTTCTCCTTTTGTTTTTGTTTGGCATGACGCCCATCAACCCCCTTTGCGTTTGCTTTATGACGGCCTGTTTCGGGTTATTGCACCAGGTCCCAATTATTTTGTTTTGGATTTTGGGGGCTGGCAGGAGGTAGTTTCAGTGTTCAGCCTGCACACGTTCTGAAGGATGCTCCTGTGGTGCCGGCCTGGGCCCCCCGCCGCGGCCGCCCACCTGCTGCCGGAACATTAGACTCTGACCCTCCTTCTTAGATTGCTCCGTGCCTGCTGGCACTTGTGTAGCCGGTGGAGGGTTTGGCCTGTCTTTCCCGGCCTGGTGAACCCACAGCCAGTTCTTGGACTTCCTGTTTCAGCCATTCTGGACGATTAAGCCCCGGGTCCTGGACTAGTGGACTGTTGTTTGGGTGTTCGGAGGGGGCATGTGTGACAACCCACTAGAGGGTTCCACTCACACCCAAGCTGGGAGGAAGGGTTCTGCTGTGTTTGGGCACAATATGCTCAGTTCATGTTTGGAGGTGAATAAAGTTGGAGTGTAAAACTAGAGCTCCTGTGTCGTGTGTCACATGCCTCCATAGTAACAATAGAAAGCCCAGGATGTCCCCTTGATCATAGCAGGACTTGTAAAGATTAGATAATTGGTGCTTGGTGTAGTGGTCTCAGACTCAGACAGAGGACAAAGTCTAATTGTTGGTTTTAGATGGAGATAATGTACTAAATCTCACGTTTTACTGGACTTTTGACTTTTTTGTCAAGGTCAATTAAGATCAAACTTCTATTCTTTTCTTTTACTCCGCTACAAACTTTGTAAAGTAGGCTATGTTTAAAAAGAACAAAACAAAAACAAATATTTAAAAATTACAGCACTATTTCCTTAAAAGTAAATGCTGCCCAGAGAGTGAACTGCGTTGGTGGAAGGGTGTGTTCTTGAAGTGCTTCTTGTATTTCTCTTCCAAGGAATCTGACTTTCTTGTAATGTTTTGCAGTTGATCAAGGGATCTTGAGCAATAGTTCTTCAGCCTTCCTGAAGGTTTTCCTTTTGACATCAGCTGCTTTTTCATTCACTTTCAGTTCAGTCCTTGTAGCTGATCATTTTCAGAGGATTTTTTAAAGCCATTTAACACTGACATATGAGTAAGGTAGTAAGATAGTAAGTAAGAAATGATAAGTATAAAAATGCATCTAGCTCAAGGAATGAATGAGTGTTGTGTCAACACATAACAGACAACTTAGCAACGGACTCATTTTAAATTGTTCCTTTCAGTTTGCAATTTGTTATTAGCAGACTCACAAAAACATAATTTGTTTTCATTTCTTTTGTTGGCTCTGTGAAAAAATGTCAATGATGACACAGTTTGACATTCATAAAATTGCATTTTTGTGTGCTTAAAAAATGAGGAACCGGAAAAGAAGTAGCAGGCCTACAGACTATTTGCAGTCAAATAGTGTAGTACTCTCTTTCAGTACTACAAAAAGTATCTGAAAGTCATGTCCTTAAGAGTTAGGAGAAAAAACAAGCATTTAATTGACACAAAACATTAGACATGCATCTGGCCCTTCAGCTGATCCATCTACTGCTCATGATGAAGGCTCATCAAGGTGGCTGTCAAGAAGCCACTTTTAAGGTAGGGAAACAGGGAAAAATAGCTGAGGAATGCTGAATTACACAAGGACTGGACTGAAAGATCCAAAGCCATTCAAAAGCCACACCTCATTAAAACCACTGAAGAACTGTGCATTGCATTGTCACAGGAATGTGTGTATGATTGATGTGAGTGATTTATAACATATATAAAATGTTTTTACACTCCTTCTTCTTACTTCCTTTTATACTGCTAGAATTGCAGCTAGTAGAAGAAAGGACACAAATGATGAAGACCAGTTCAGAAATGTATGTTAAGTGCAGTGTAGTGTAGGCAAAGTGATAAATATATCAGTATAATATATAGCAATATATTGTATAATTTTACAGTTCTGCAGAATCTACTGGATATAAATCATAGAAAGTTTTGATGATGCTGACTTGGCAAATAACCTTGCTTACCTCTGGAAATCCTTAGTGAAAACCAAACATTACTGATATTTACTATGGCTTTTACCGTTCAATATCTTTCCTCATGAAAGGCAACTGTTAGCAACTTTTTTAGTAAGAACATTTAGAGTGAATAGTGTAATTACTACTGCTCTGATATTGAGTCCCAGAGTGAGAAAGGCCTGAACAGTATATGCGTGCAGCAAGATACCTAGAACTAGCTGAGTGAATCTGTGGTTCATTTCCTACACTTCATAGTTATTTACATAGTGTGTTCCAAGTCAAATATAGAACACTGTGACATCCTGTTAGATCAGCGGTGAAGCAGTGTGTATGTCAGGTTTGTCATGAAGACAGACAAAAGCATTTAATCGGCATGTTTTTATTCACAGGTTAAAAATACATAGAGACCAATAAATGTTGAGTATCTGACAGTGTAATAGATGCAGATACTAATAAACATGGTTTAACAAGCTCGAAGATTAAAAAGTTATGTACACAAATAGAAATCTTACCAAATGTAATCTTGAAAACCCTTAAAACAGGTTGTTTTAATCAGTAAATCAATAATCACAACTTTAAGCTGAAGCAAAGCCACAAAGGGTTTCTGTTACTGTGACTAATCAGAAAAGTCGTAACATTTCTTTCTTACACTTGGAGGGAGCACAGCGAGATACTCCCTGCAACAGTAAGAACAATTTATAACAAAGTAACAATTTAACACACACTTTTTAATATCTATGCATGACTGCACTGTGTCAGTCAATTTGACACGAACAATTAAAAAAGTTTTTTTTTTCAGTTGAAATCTTATTCAGTGCTCGGTGTCTCCTGAGTGACGATCACTTTGCTTTCTGTGAAGGATTTCAAATCAGCCGTGTCAGTCCTCTTTGAAGTTGCAGCAGCTTCTGACTTTTGGGCAGTATTTGAAAAGGTTGACATGGAGCGAGTGGACAAGAACGACATGTGGTCCTCTGCCAGAGCACTCTCAAGTACAAAACATACGGACTGCCGAAGCTTCTTCATGAATTCTTCACACATGAAAACATAAAGGATGGGGTTCAGGCAGCTGTTCAGAAAAGCCAGACTCAAAGTCAGAGGACCCATGGTTCTAACAATGTTCCTGAGGTCTGGGTTAGTCACAGCCTTTATTTCTATAAAACTGCAAACATGGAAGGGCAACCAGCAGATGAAGAATGCAAAAATGATGGAGAAAATGATTCGGCGAGATCTGCGTCTCCTTGTTCTTGACATGCGCATTGCACGTATGCCTATGGCCACATAAGAGACGAATATGACCAGGAATGGGATCACAAAGCCCATAAGAAAGCGAAAAATGTGGAGACTCCATTTCTGTTCATGTGTCATAGAATAACCACAGGAATGTGCCCCATTGTATTCCACAACAGTGCGAAAAGTGGCATAAGGAGTGCTGCAGATCGCAGCAGTCACCCAGATACCAACACATATGAGCCGAGCTTTGCAGACTGTGCGCTTGTTGTGTGCCCACACCACCACCCAGATGGACAAACAACGATCAGCACTCATAGCTGTCAGACTAAAAATGCTGGCAAACATGTTGACTAAAGTGACAAAGTTGTTGAGCTTGCACATGAATTGTCCAAAAGGCCATCGGTGACTCTGAGAGAGAGAAATGATCGAGAAAATCAGGAAGGCTGTGAAGAGGAAGTCAGCTATGGCCAGGTTGAGAAACCAAACTGTCTCGACTGTTTTCTTCATTTTTAACCCCGTCACATAGATAACCAGAGCATTGCCCAAAGTTCCAACTATAAATATCACACAGTAGATGAGAATGGAGGCTGTTTGTATGTGTCTCAAAGCTGATTCCAGTCCATGTGATGGATTTGCAGCCAAACTAATGTTACCTAAAACAAAAATCACTTTATTCAGTTTATCAAAAATTCATATTATCTTTTAGCTGACATAGTTTAAAAGAAATGCTAATGTATGTCAAAAGTTTCTCACCAGACCCCATGTTCCTTTTAGCTGAGCGAGTCGGTCTTTAATCTACACTCGTCTCTGTCTTTTACTGCTTTTATTTGCTGCCATTACTCCTCCCTCTCAGTTTATGCAAAAGAGAAGAGAAACATCTCAGAATATGCTCATGCAGCAGGAAAGGCTGAGTGATATATTTGCTGGATATTATTTAATATTTCCATGATTAAACTGAAAGGTTGAACAAATCTTGGAAGAGCAGTATTTATTTCACTAAGAGTGTTATCATATTTCACTGAAAAATTATTTGTAGTTACATATATTTTATTAATGTTTTCCTGGAAACATTGCTGGAAACACCTTTTAGAGGTGCGAAATTAGAGGTGTGAACGTGCGAAGTCTCTGACTGATCAACTTAAACAGTCATGTGTATTAACAAGTCAAGGCAGTGCAGTCAACTGCTGCTTTTCCCACTCTGACCCCCAGTTTGGTGCACCTGACTCAGTAACAACAGACTTTGGTGTGCCTAGCAAGACATACTAAGGTACTAGCTAAGATAACTATTGTTAAATGTCAAAGTCTGGCATTGGGCTCCAAGCCTCTGCCTGCCTTTGATGGTGGCCTATAGGCACTAAGCAAGTATAGGGCAAAAGCACCAACCGGTCAATAATTAGATAAATAAATAAATACACAACATAGATCATCTTGTTAAATATGGACGGGTGACTCCTTAAAAGTGTTCACCTAAGCAAATACACATTTACCAAGAACTTTACACAGCATCATGACATCATTATTCTCTATGCTTCACCCAAGATAAATGCAAACAGATTCATAGAAAGGTGGAAGTGAAACAGACAAGATGCATCAATGCTATTTCTCTAAAAGTATTCACTCACCCATCCAAATCATTGAATTTAGGTGTTTCGATCACTTTCATGTCAACAGTGTATATAATCAAGCAGGTAGCCATGCAGACTGCTTCAGCAAACATTTGTGAAAGAAAGTGTAGCTTTCAGGAGCTCAGGGAATTCCAGTGTGGTACCAGACTAGAATGCTACAAACTACTAACAAGTTCAGTCATGAAATTTCCTCATTACTAAACATTCCAGAGTCAGCTGTTTGTGGTATTATAATAAAGTTTAAGGGACAACAGCAACTCAGCCATAAAGTTGTAGGCAACGGAAAATCATACAGTGGGGTCAGTGTATGCTGAGGCAATTGGTGTGTAGAAGTCACTTTCTGCAGAATCAGTTGCTGCAGACGTTGAAACTTCACATGGGCTCCAGATGAGCTCAAAAACAGCACATAGAGAGCTCCATGGAATTTCCATGGCTGAGCAGCTACTTCCAGGCCTTAGATCACCGAGCACAATGGACAGCATTAGATGCAGTGCGGTAAAGTAGGCTGGCACTAGATTCTAAAGCAGTGAAGACTTGTGATAAGGTTTCTTAAAGGGACTCACACACAGGCCAGGTTTTCCTTAGGTGAAAGATAGTGCATTTATTTACAGTGAACACAACACCAAGTGAATATACACAATGTGCAGGGGAAAGGGGTCCGTGGGGAAACAGGCTGGGAAGAGGCGCTCCACACCTTCTGTACAAAACTCCAACTCCTTCTCCACTGCCACTCCTCTTGTAGTCCATAATCAGGTTCCAGAAAAGATCTACACACACAAAAGGTCCGGTTAGCAGGATAGTCACAACACGCACAGATACACAGGTTCAGATTTGCAGGTTTGACTGACGCCGATAGCTCAACGATTCAGCGAAGACTAGCGCAGATCCGCCATCTTAAATAGCAATCAGCTGGGATCAGCGACCGGTGTGGTGATGAGAGCAGGTGTGTGGGCCAGCAGCGGGAGCCCGTAATGAGCATCGCTGCGGCGAAAGACAGAGAGCGAGAGCGGGAGAGGAAGGAGGGAGAGAGTAAAAAACAGAAACAACTATGTTGCCTAATGGAGAGTCGACCAGCGAGGCACAAGGACCATGACAACTTGTTCTCTGGAGTGACCAATCACACCTCTCCATTTGGAAATGTAGCCAAGTACAGGATAGGGTAGGGGAAATTAAAGTAAGATGGAGAGAATGGGCCAATAGCTAGATTCGTAGGAGGGAT